TTTTTTTTTTTTTTTTTTTTTTTTTTGTTCTTTATTTATTTTTTTCTTCTTTGGTCTTTAGGCTGGAGCAATTTAATGATGTGCTGCTTCAGGAGAATGTTTCGAACTATGACATGAGTCAGCCGCTATTTGATTTGAGTGCGTTACACGCTATACAAACTGAAAAGTCCTTCTCAGCAGAGCCAGTCAAAGTATGTGGGTCGAAGGCCGTGTTAATCGATAGAAATGATCTTCATCAACTCAACTTCACACAATTATTATCCTAAAGATAAAATCAATAGTCAAATTGAAGTCTTTTTTATTTGTTCTATTCATAGACAAATTTGAGTTTATCTCAAGGGTTTTAGGCATAACTTGAAATCTTAACAATGCCTTCATGTTTCTGCTGTCAAGAAGCATGATAAAAGGAAGTTTTTACCTTATTTGTCTTCATACTACAGTTCGACTCCCGCTGTTATTTACCAGAGAACGAAAACCCGTTCACAATGAAATGATTTTTCCAGTAAATTACTGATTATTTCTTTGATATTATTATTATTATTATCATTTGTTAATGCAGAGAGGCTGGTACCACAATGTTGTTTATTTGGGAAAGGAGAACGATATTCCAATTCTCACAATGACGTAAGTATATATCCTTTTGAGTTTTGACGAACGTAATTTCACATTTGTATCACTCGTTTATTTTTTTTTTATTTTTTTTATTTTTTTTTGGCCATATATGTGATTCAGGTGCACTCTTTCGCACGTTAATGACTTCATATCTGGTAAATTCCCGATCAACCCACCATGCAAAGAGTATGCTAATACGTTGGTTAAAGGGCTTGTGGAGGGAAAGCAGCTCTCCGAAAACAAAGCCATTGCTTACATACAAGAAGCATCTACGAAGCCCCTTGTTTAGTATCGTGTGTTGACATTTATCGACTATGAATAGTTCAATCTTGGTATGTTTTGTGCAGCTTTTGATTATTGTGGTATTTATGAGGTTAGTGGAAATTGCCATTAGTAAGTAGATGGCATTTTAGTTGGCAAAAGGCCTCGTTTTGGACTACTTTCTATTGTTTTCTTGATTTGCAGTAGCTAATTTCCCAGAATCCTGGAAAGTGTGTATTTCTTGTATATAATTTTACCTTAAGTTCTATGGTGTTAAGGTTGTAATTTTACCTAATTGACCCCATCGCTTTTGAGTCACCGATTCAACCGGTTGGTCACAGTGTAAGCTGCTAAATCGAGTAATTAATTTTAAATTTTTTGAAAATTATATTTATACTATTTTACCTTATTGTTATATGGAAAAATAATAAAAATAAATAATTTATGGGTAATTTTTTATGCTCAATTCGTAATAATATTGTAATATCTTATGAATATTTACCTTACCCACCTATACATGTACATACTCTTACACTTAAATTAAGTTCTGCGCAAAAAATATTTCCTAAAACATAGAAAACCATGGGTGAAATCTTACCTGACTTTTATGGAAAATTTGATATTTAATCGAAATGGTCTAGGGAATTCAAATGTTTGCAATTTAATTAGCGTGATATTCCTACTCATTTCATAACTGTATTTACAATTCATCTAATTAATTCCCATAGAAAAATTATCATTTGGCGTAATATTGAGAATGTATAATCTTTAAGACTCGTCCACATAAAATTTACAGCTTTCTGTCTTCTGCCACCTTACCTAGCTTAGGTTGAAAGTATTTATTTGCCGACTATATGATTACAAGGTTTATTTATCTAGAAAATTGGCTATTTTATTGTTAGTAATAATAAAAGTTGCTTCAATATTACTTTCGAGGCAGGAACAATTTTCACTTGTGATTCCTTTTATTTATTATATTTTTCATATTTGAGCCATTAAAATCAAGGATGTCGCCAAATAATCGCAATTGGCTGGGTAAAGTTTGAGTGAAAAAGGTGTAATCTGAATATTTATTGGGCGTTACTATTCACCGCCCCCCTTTTACTACTCACCGCCCCCCTTGGACAATTTTGCCCTTCTCATTTTTTCTAAACATTTCAGACAATTTATGAAAAAATACGTGTCCGGCCGCCGGTTCCGGACAGCTTAAAGCCCGTCCGGAACCGGCGTCCGGACGGCTTGAAGACCGTCCGGAACCGGCGTCCGGACGGTTCAAAGACCGTCCGGAAAGCATGGCCGGTCGGACCGGCCGTGTCCGGACAGGCCGGCCGGACGGCAAGAAAGCCGTCCGGAACCGACGGCCGGTCGGAACCGGTCCGTCCGGTTCGGCCGGCCGGCCGGCAATTTTTTTTTTTATTTATTTTATTTTTTTTTATTTATTATGTTATTATTCGAAATAATTATGTTATAAATTGGGCTATATTATTATGTTTTAAATTATTATGTTACTTTTTAGACTTGATTATGATATAAATTGGACGTTTATCGTGTTAGGAGTTACAAATTATTATGTTACATGTTGATTATAATATAAATTGGACGTTTATCGTGTTAGGAGTTACAAATTATTATGTTACATGTTTATTATAATATAAATTGGACGTTTAGATATTATCGTGTTACGAGTTAGAAATTATTACATTATATATTAGTTTTAGTTATGTTATAAATTGACGTTAGATAGTATCGTGTTAAGAGTTACAAGTTATTGTGTTACATGTTTATTATAATATAAATTGGACGTTAGATATTATCGTGATCGTGTTATGAGTTACAAATTATATTAATTGAACGTTAGATAATATCATGTTACGAGTTACAAATTATTATGTTACATCGTAGAATTAATTATCTTAATTTAACATGTTCTAAAAATAAAAATATTGTACTATATAGCA